TTGGAATTACTCTTGCATCAGCACTTACCATTGTTAATAGAAATCAAAATAGAAAGGTAAAATCTACCCACAATCAAAGGCATCAAAATTAAACCCCAGGCATCCAATTGAAGGGCTCCCCAAAAAACCTGATGCAATTTGAAAGAATATAATGATACAGCTAGATAATTATATAAATAGGCTTCCAAAAGTTGAGGAGAACATTCCATTATCTTTTTTTTTTAACAATTTTATTGGGGGCTCATACAACTCTTATCACAATCCATACATACATCAATTGTGTCCATTATCTTTTCATTCCATTTGTCCACAAACTTTTTGACAGATATAGATCTATATATCCAGGAAAGGGTACATAAATAAATAGAATATTCATTTTGGAGTTGGAACAGTAGGCTTTAAAATAGCCAATATGTATGAATCCTTACTTCTCCCCAGGTAAGCAGGATATGAACTCACCTCCTGGGGTCCCAGCGAGGAGCGAATGGCTCGGGGAAGTATGTGTAGGAAAGGCCCAAGACAGTGGCAAAGCCATGGCAGAACTCCATGGAGACGCTGAGGGTGACTGCGCCAGCTTCGTGCTGTCGCCCCCACTGCAGAGATGAAGAAAGAGCACACCCCACTCTGAATCTGAGGATACCATACTACGGCAAAGCTAGCCGAGAATGCAGACCCTGGAGGGTACCAAGGACTTGAGATTTGGCAATCAACAGGCCAACAGAGCCCTTGGGGTCTCTGTGCCAAGGGCATTCGCTAAAAGAGAAATGAATAAAAGGAAAAGTAGTTTGAAAGCAAGAGGAAACATAAAAGTAACATTATTGGGAAAAACAAATACAAAACCTAAAACACCGAATGGTGTCAATGTTGTAATAATAATTTTCTCAAATTATGTACATCTGGGAAAGGCGGCCAGGGGCCTGGAAAAAAAAAAACACACTTTCATTTGATGCCATGGGTTTTAATTTTGATGCCTTTAGTTATGGGTAGATTTTTACCATTCGATTTCTGTTAACAATGATAAATGCCAATGCAATAGTAATTTGAAATGCTTTCAGAGATTTTTTTTTAAATCACAAAGAAAAACAATAAAAGATTCTAACTACCTCAAACTTAGAAACTTCCATATGCAAACATTTAAAAGGAACTAAGATGGAAAGGAAAGACTAGCATACGGCAGAGACTTATCTGTAATAAGCATGCTGTCATCATTGAAGTGCCATCGAGTCAGAACATGATAGGACAGGGTTAATAGTACTAACTCATAACATATACCTTAAAATCAGAAAAAAAGGCATTAAGATCTCAAGAGGAAGTAGACAAAATGTATGAGCATAATTCATACACACAAACACACACCAAAAAGCACCACTGATTAATAAACTTCAGGGGAAAATGCCCAATCCCACCACCAACTGCTCCAATAAGGACTGTATTAGAAGTTCCTCAATCCACTCATCCACTGCCATCGAGTCCACAGTGACTCTAGATAGGGTTTCTGGGGCTTTGTAAATCAGACAACCTCATCTTTCTCCCAAGGAGTGGCTAGTGGGTTTGAACCGTGGGCCTTGCAGTTAGCAGTCCAACATTGACCATCACCAGGATTCCTTAGAAGGTCCAAGGTAGAGTGCGAGAGAAAATAAGTAACACAACTCAAAATCAAAAAAGAGACTGAGCTTACTGGTCAGATAGAGGGGGGTGGGACCCCCAAACTATGGCCCTTAGTCATCCTTCAGTTCTGGAACTGGACTCACCCCCATGTTAGAATCATTAACCATTTTAAGATCCAAAGGGCAGCATCATCGGAGGAAATGTTAAGAGGGTTAGGAAAGAAGAAGTGAAGCCAGAAAACACTGCGAGGAGGTGGGATAAGAGATGGTATATTAAAGGGATTGCAATCAGAATGTATCCAACTCATGATCTGCTCTGTAAACCTTCACCTAATCCACAACAAAGAGGTTAAAAAAATGAATAAAAAGATATGCATGAAATAAACCAAAAACAGCTGCTCTCATGCAGAAATCAATTTTCAGATGGTCTTCACTTTCTTTCATCTACTTTTCTGTATTTTCCAAATCTTTAAGTTATTCTTTTGATTGAAAAAAAAAGAAAAAGCATTTTACATTTTAAATACTTTCGAGTATCCATTTTCCCTTCTCTAGACAGGTCTTCATTACGGGCCAGCACTTAGAGGGCTCGCTCAACCAAGGGCCATACAAAAAGGACATCATCACTGAAACTCATCTGATGTCGATTACTCGGCCAGCTGATGGCATCAGGCCCTAGGCCACCAAGTACAACCCAACGGGCAGAGAATCATCGCTTTTGTCCTTTATCTGAATCCTGGTGGTGCAGTGGGTTAAGTGTTGAGCTCCTAACAGCAAGGCAGTGATTCAAACCTATCAAGAGTGGCAATTTACGGAATCTTGCTGAGCATTCTACTCTGTGCTATCAGGCTGCTGTGGGTGAGCGTCACCTCCCTGGTCCTGTATCTGACAGGAGGTGGGGAGTTATGCATGAGGAAAGGAAGGGCTCTGCAGGCCCCATCCGTGGCCAGTTTTCTCTGGATATGTGATATCATCCATAAATAGTCATTTAAACATACAGGGATTTCCTTAAATTTATTTGAAAGTGTTAGTATTTATTTATCCCTAAATCAAATCCCAATGTTAACGAGTTGATTCTGACTCATAATGACCCCACAGGACAGAGAGACAGGGAGCCCTGATGGCATAGTGACTATGCATTGGGCTGCGAGCTACAAGGCCCACAGTTCGAAACCACCAGCTGCTTCTTGAAAGACGGGCTTTCTACTCCCATAAACAGTCTCGGAAAGTCACGTGGGACTCACAGGGGCAGTTCTATCCTGTCCTATAAAGTCACTAGGAGTCAATGTTGACTTGAACTGGTCTCTAGGGTTTCCACGGCTATAAATCTATATGCTAGTTGACTTTGTCATCTTTCTCCCACGGAGTAACAGGTAGGTTCGAACCACCAATCTTTCAGTTAGCAGTTCAATGCTTAACCCTATTCTTAAAAAAAACAAACTCACTGCCATCGAGGGGATTCTAACTCGAAGCACAGAGGAGTGCTCCCTAGGATGTCCGAGTCTATGAATCTTTTCAGGGCAAAAAGCCTCATCGCCTGCCCTCAGAGCACCTGGGAGGTTCCCACTGCCGACCCTTCCATTCTTGACCCAACAAGCCAACCCACTGTGGCACCCCCTAAGAGCGCCTTTAGTCGTATCCAGAGCTGCCTTAACTCGCCCAAATGTCCCACGTATACAGCCAATAAAAGTCACATTGTATGGGTTTTTTCAAGCAGAAGTCAAAAGGACCTGTTCTACCCTGACAAGTAAATAAAACAGCAGGGAGATCAAATAACTCACTAAAAAGAAGATATAATTTTTTATCTTCCTTTTTACAGTCTCATATCCACTTCCGTTGAGAATAACGAAGTCTGAATTCTTATGCAACACTTATCTAAATGTGTCGATTTTATCGGATTGATGAATTTTGCTAACAAAAGGCAGTGCTAGGAAATCTTTTATGACATATTTGGCCCATTCACAGGGCTGGGGCTTTAATTTAGCCAACTTGAGAATTCTGAGGGAGAGCTGCAGGTGTTGGGGCTGGAAAAAAAATCATAAATGGCAAAGCATATCAATCTTTATGACGGGGAAACAAAAACACTTTCTACTGCGTGCCCTCCACAGACAGGCTCGAAGGAGAAGTGGCAGTAGCAGGATATTGTCTGGGGCTGCATAGCAAAGAGGAAGTAGCGCTGTCGCCCAGTGACCGCTATTTAGTATTGATCAAAAGGGACTGGCCCGGAAAGGGACAGAGACAGTGATAAAACAATAAGGTTTGCCAGCTCTGTGTACTCAACAAGGACACGTTCTCACTTTCTGGACAACATCAGAATTAGTTACTCCCGTGGCTGCCTGTAGAGCCAGGTGGCTTTTCTGTCCCATTGTCCCCATGCCCCTCTAACTGGCCCTACCCCCTGCCCAGCAGCGCTGCTACCTTTCTGCCCCCATAGACCTCTCCTCACAGAATATTCTCTGATTGTCACCACAGCCAAATGTTCAACAAGACCACTTGGTTCTATTTGTTAATGAGTCCCCCAAGTCACCTTCTCCGCTCCTTCCCTGCCTTCACTCAGAATCACACCTTCTCTCCCAGGAAAACTCTCCATCTTCCTTCTGTCTCCTGGATTCTTCAGTCAACTACAGTCCGGCTATGACCAGCAGCCTAGATGGGAACAACTGATCTAGCAGCTCACTACACAAAATTCTTTAATGGCTCTCTACTTCCCAAAGACAAAACTGTGAACCCCTAGCCTTTTCTACTCTTGTATCAAGCAACAACAATCAACTGTCCAACTACCCATCCTTCAGTCCGTCCATCCATCCACCCATCAATCCAATTGCATAAGTTACTCTGTCAGAAACAGGCAGTTGTCTACCAAAATTCAACTTTCCCTTTTGGTCATCAGGTAACAGATAGGCAGGTGAGTGGAGAGCGCAAGTCCTATCTCCCTAGTGCCTGGGTACGGCCAGTATAATCACATGTGATCAAGTTCTCATAGACAGAATACAACGGAAAACACTGGGCGCACCCTCTCCACGTGCCATCCCCCTCCTCTGCGCTAAGACACAGGAGTGCCTCTGAGCAGCTCGGACCAACAGACAAGGACAACACTCAAGGGCTAGAGGGGCACTGAAATGGGAGCCACCTGCGTGCTGGACAGTGTGTATGGCAAAACTACCCTCGATAACCGGCCTACTTCCCTTAAAACGTCACCGAATGCGAGAGATGTGCTCGGGTTCTTTGTACAACACTTTAAATGTCACGTAGCCTTTGCCCTACGTAGTACAAACCTTAATCTGAGCAAGTACCATTTCCTAGGTCCTGAGCAGATATCTACCTGGCCAATAAAAGGAAGCACTTGTCCTCCAATCGTTTTAAAAATGTAAACATGTTTCTCAACCATAAACGTACTTGGTCTTCTCTAGGGTCTTCTGCATCTTTTTCGTCATTTTATCAATTGCCGCCTGTCTCTTCCCCTCAGCCAAGAGGTCTATTTTGTTCAAGACCACGAGCAGCTTCTGGCAGGCGATCTGCCCAATCACCAGGCACTCTGCTGACTGGGTCTGCATCCCCTTGGTCACATCGATGACCAGCATCATTAGATCAATGATCTGGGCTCCTGGGATAAAGGAAAAGATGGTTAGATGCATAAGGAGGCGATGGGGCTCTACAGGAAGTTTCCCAGGGTCCCAGGCGAAGCAACACCAGTGTGAGCATAGTGCTGAGGTCAGAGCAAGCACACACAACACACTGAATTCCCCTCCCCACGGTGAGCAACTACCCCATTCTGAGATGAGGAAACAGAGGCCCACCAAAGGCAGATGAGGGTTCAGGGTCACACAGCTAATACACGGGGGCTTCAAAAAGTTCATGGAAAAGTGGAATTAAAAGATAATAGAATTTTCCCATAAATTTTTGGAGCCCCCTCATATGCAGCAGCATTGGGTATGGGTGTAGGTTTGTCTGACTCCAAAGCCCACACAGTGAGAATGCCCAAACAGGGAGAGGCTTGGTGCTTTATGCTGGGCTTGGCATATCCCTGGGTACCTGCCTTTGCCAAGAAAGCTGATGAATGGCTGAAGGAGGACAGGGGCTGTAGGGACAGGCTCCTACGTCTGCTCCTCAGAACACCTGTAGTTTCCCTGGGATCACCTCACGGAGGGCTGGATTATGTCCACTCACTTCTTTTGTCCTTCCTGCTCTGCCTGGTTAGGGGCTCCTGCTCTTAGTGTGAGGTTGGACACATCCAAGGTTCAGATACATAAGCGCTGGGCTCCAGGCTGTGAGTGTGGCCACTTGCTTCAAGAGCAAGAAGGCCAATCAATTACAGAGAAGTCAATGAAGAGAAACTATCAAAGTCATGCTGGGAAGACGAACAGTAGCCAGTGACATCCCTTTGTCCTTTTCAATGGGATTCATAGTAGTTGCATCCAAAATAGGGTGTTATTTTGGGGTCTAAAGAATATGGAAACTCTTTTGTCATTGAAATTAATGGCAGTTATATTTTCGATTTACAAGAATTTGCCCTAAGAAGGCAAATCACAATCCTTGGCAAAGAGAGGAAGACTGTTCTGTAAATGATTCTCATGCCCCAACCCCACAGGGGGGATGAAAGGGGGCAGAGGAGAGTGAGGGGTTTACTTGTTGGCACATTTACTATATATCCAGGGCATCTCACGTACCCTTCAGTCTGCCCCCAGGGAAAACTATGACGTTAGGGCTTCAGATAAAGAAATGAAAGACACTGGGTCACTGACTCAAGGTCCTACAGCCAACTGGCACTAAGGAAACTAGAGACAGGGTCCCTGATCTCAAGGCTGAAGGCTTCTTTCCCGGTCCCTGCTCACTGCTAAAGCTCCTCTGGACTCTCCAAGGACAGACAGAAAGTGCCAGTGATTCTGGACAGGCCTAGGAGTGCCCCAACTCTTCTCTTCCGGTGTCCTGTGTTCTGCCTCCCCCAGCTTCCTCATGACCTCCTCTGTCAGCTGAGGCGTGCACAGCAGATGGGGTATCTCTCATGTTGTATCACCAAGCAACAGGGCTAGGTCTCTACTGCATCGGAGGAGGTGGGAAGGGGTGGGGTGAGTGGAGGGCACTGATCTGTCATCTGCATGAACAGACAAATTAAAAGAGAATTGATGTTTTGGTAAAACAAATATGCAAACGTCATTGTCTGGTAGACTCCTCCCTATCTATTGCATTCCCAGCAGCCCTCCTGAACCCAGCTGTCCCCCAGCTCCAGTTTTCAGGGCAATGTCAGGCTTGCATCAGTGGTCCCCTAATGGGCACCCCAAGGCTTGTCCACAATTCTAAAATCTGGCCTCCAAAAGGAACTTTCTAAAAACACAAAACTAATTCATATACTGTTGCAAAGAGTTAAATTGGTACAAACCCTATGGAAGCCAATTCAGAAATGGCTATCAAAATGCACCCAATCCCTGGCCCAACCATGTCTGCACACATTGAAATGACCACATAAATGCCCATCAGTAGAGTGTTGGTTGAAAAATAAATATTGCGCCCATGAAACAGAACGTTATGCTATTATATAATGATCTACAAGATAGACTGAAAAGAAAAGAAAAACAAGAGAGAACACTGTGTAAATCATAATTTGTATTAAAAGAGGGAAAAGGCATGTGTGTGTATATCTGAATAAGTATGTGCTTTTATACATGTAAAGTACTTCTGGAGGAATAACAAAGAAACGAAGACCTTTTCGCTGCCTGTTGCAAGAGGAGCAAAGTGCCCGACAGATGGGGGGCAGGTACACTCTTCCACAACTTTTAAATTTAAACAGGGTTATACACATATGTGAATGATTCAGAATATAAACATAACTATAATTTTAAAGACATGAGTAAGTAAATACAAAATAAACTACTTTCTTAGTAGGAAAGCAAATGTGTTGTTTTCATTGTCCTCTGAATAAAACCAGTAGCTTTTTTAACAGACGCTACACACTTACTCTGTGACAAGCACTATGCATGTGAGTGCTTCATTCTCTTATGTGCTCCTCATTGCTCCTTGTTTGCTATTCCTATAAAGAGTTACAGTCCCATAAGCCCACAGGGCCAGTTCTACCCATCCTATAGGGTAGCTATGACTTGGCCTTGCCTCAGTGGCAGTGAGTCTGGTTTTTGTGGCTTGACCCTGTGACCACAGGATGCTCACATCTCCCTGAGGCACTGTGCGCCTGAACCTTACCCATCTCCCATAACTGACCATCTCCCACAACACGCATCACCACAAGCACCCAGCAGGCTGTCACGGGGCTATGAGGCAGAGAGGTTCGAGTCCGAAGGTGGCAAGGAAACACCACGGGACTCCTGGTCCCAGGTGCCACAGACTGGGGAGTCACCTCCACAACAGAATGGTTCCAATGCATAGCTCAGTGTTCTCACACACTGACTGGTGTGCTACAGAATTTCTGTGCAAGGCTGAGTTCACTACTGCATGGGTGACTTACACATTAGTTAAGAGTAGCTGCAACTACCCAGGCCCTCCCTAGAGCCCTAGCACCAGTTCGTCCCCAGCCCATGGTATCACTAACCCCACTTTAAAAGTAAGGAAATGGGACATTTAGCAAAAGCTGCCAACAGCTATAGAGCCAGTGCCCAGTTGAGAGAGGAGCTGAACTCCAGCTCCTCTGTGTGCTCCTAGCCACCAAGCAACCCTGCCTGTCCTGCCTCACTGGGCCCCATGGCCAGCTATCCACCAACTCTACCCCACTCTCCATTATCCATCCAAGAATCAAGGCCACACTCCATGGTAATTCTTGCCCCTTCCTTGTCTTACCTTTGCTCATGCTCCTGGCTCTCCTGGGAACACTTACCCAAACCTCACTCCCAACGGATCCCATCTTAAAAGGCCCACAAATCAAGGGCTGGGTTTATCTTTGTAGGCAGCAGCCAGATTCAGAACCAATTTGGGGCCCAGCTTCATAAACCTTTGATGGACTGAGGAGAGCGGTGTTAGCTCCACGTCCCAACCACCTCGGCTCCACCTCATTCGGCAGGCCTCTGGGCCTTCGCGATAACATTTCATTTCCTATTAGCGTAGCAAAGTCCCCAGGGCTCCATGCCTCCTCCGGGAGGGAGTGACTCAGGTACTTAACATCTGTAGCCCACCTTGCTCTCATTCCTGGTGGGTCACAGGGATAAGAAATGAACCCGACTGCCTCAACGAGAAAGGTAAGTGCCAGTGGGACTCAGACTCTCAGGAACCAGGGTCCGACTCGCTTGCAGTCTTAGCCCAGCATCGACAAGCCGCCTTTGTTTGCGAGCCCACAGCTCTGCCTCAAAAGGCCGGCTCTCTGCAGCACAGCCAGTATGAGGGGCCTTGGAAGGAGACTGGAGGTCACTGTAATTTCACTGGCGACACTGAGAACCAGGACCCCGCTGGAAAGCAAGGTCAGCAACAGCCTCCTGCTTAGCAGCAGCTCTCAGTTACCCTTGTCTCTGCATCAGACGTTTGATCAGACGGCAGGAAGTGACAGAGCTGGCCCGTCTTGTCTTTTTCAGAATCCATAGTATTTCCACAGAATGAATCAAACAGTGTCCTTCCCAATTCCCACGAACCCAGGGTAGGAAATTATTCTGAGACTAGAGGGACAGAGTGAGCGAGTGGGTGGGAAACACAAGACAAAAAATTGAGGCTTACAAATGACCCTCTATACTTTTCAATCTATCAGAGCTTTTCATCTAGTTGTACTGACTACAGAATTCTTTAAAGATTTGCAGAATAATTATAACAGGGTTAAAGTTTCTCGGTACTTTCAAATTTTTTAATTTCCAATTCTATAGATCCTATCTTAATAATTTCAAAAATAAAAATAAAAACAAAAACACACAAAGGTCAGCATTTAACAAACTATAAGTTATCTACGAGATATAATGTCCCTTCTGAAACCAATGAGAAAAAAAGTGCATATTCAGGAAAAACAACGTTTCAGCAGAAACTGAAAATAAAAGTAAATATTTAACAACTGTGGTTTTTATTGTTGTTGTTTTTAATCCAAAGTTTAGGTCATTCTATGGAGAGGAAATGACATTAGATTTAAAATAGAGAATTGTTTTTTCAATTGTTGACTTGTGAAATTGCCAATAAGTAACATAAATATATTGCTATCATCAATAGAAAGCAGTAGTGGCAATTTATAGGCTGCTATGAAAACTTCCAGGAACCTGGAAGTCACCAGCCACTCTGGAAGAAAGACGAGGCTTTCCCCTGCCATAAAAGGGCTCAGTTCACTCAGAGCTCACGGCCACCGAGACGACGCTGCCTCGGAATGACGCCCCATGGGTTTCCCAGACTGTACGTAAACCACAAGGGCTCCTTAAAGAGTGACAGTCTCAGAAACCCCCAGGGCAGTTCTACCCTGTCCTATAGGGTCGCTACGAGGCAGGTTTTGGTTATTAAGACTACCAAGGAGCACTGATGGTACTACGGTGGTTACGCACTGAGCTACTAACCAAAAGGTCCGTAGCTGGAACCTACCAGGCTGCTTGAGAAAAACGTGGAAGCTGAGGCACAAAGATGCCAGCCTGGAAAACCCTGTGCGTGGTTCTACTCTGTTCTATAGCATGGCGACAAGTCAGAACCAACTGGACTTGGTTT